GCGCAACGTATAATGAGACTGTAAAGTGTTTACTATCGTCTCATGACACATTACACCGTCCCTGTCTGTCCGTTGTATCGGACTCGTAAGTAGCAAACTATTTTCAATTATAACTCTATTAACAATTATAACGAAAACTAAACTTCGGACAAAATTTTGTAAAAGAAAATCGTCTCAGAATTCGCTCAAGAATATGGCATTGCAAGGACATCAGGTTATTTTGAATCACCCTGTATAAATATTCTAATAATGAAAAAATTCCTTTTTTTCATTACAAAGTTACACAAATATCAACGTGCAAGGTTTTCATTCTGTGCAAATGCATACATTGAGTTATTATAGATAAACTCCTTTTGGACATGAATATCTTGGATTAAATATACAAAAAAAATGTAAACCAATGTTATCAAGGTGTTCACTTTTACTTCAAGTTTTACTCCATATTATGCACTAATTGCAAAAAGTTTTGAATTAAAATCTTATTATAAGTGAAATTTACTTGTAAATATTATATATGAATATTTTTATTTATATTAACAGCAATGAACCTCAGCCAAGATTATTATGACAATCATTATTGATGTATGTATATTATGCGTACATTTACATGTGTGTATGGGATATAATTTAAAATAATAATAATATAATCAAAATATCTATATTATATATATATTTATAGATCTATATATTTATAAATCATTATAGCTAAACTAGCTACATTAGCTTCATGTTAGTCTCATTTTCTAATGTGGAAAAAAAAATGCTTCTCCTCCAAAAAAGGTACTCCTAAATACCCTTTGGGCGTGGCAAAGAGGTTTTACCTGCTTTTGTTAACACCTGTATCACACATATACCTGTGTGTATATCTCTAATAATTTTTATATTTGTATGTTATACATTATGATTATATATGTATTTACCGTCACTTCACTCTAATCTCTTAATTTGTTCTCTTTTTCATACTTATTAAAACAAAAAGACAAAGAAAAGTGGAATTACCTGTCAAGGCTGCGCGTAAGTCTGATATCTCTTCATTTCTTCTCTTTTGCTCAAAGCAAGTCACTGATACAATCAATGAA